GGAAAAAAATGATAAGTTTTTGCGCAATTACTGCTTGAAGTTAATATCAAATTAATACAAAAAAAAATTTCTAAAAAAAAAAAACGCTTCATTTTTTCAAATATTTTACACGGATAGAACAAGAAACGCTTAAAAGAATGTCGCAGGCATAAGATAATGCCGTATAGAAGATATACTTTTTATTTTATAGAATATTTTCTTCACAGACTGATCATGAAATAATGCTATGTACAAGTTTTTGAAAATATCAGTTATTTTCGTGTAATTTTCCGAAAAATAGACAATTTTTAAACAATTATTTTCGAAAATAACGTCTCCAACTGTTTTCTTTAAAGTTTCTCCTCGTTTATCAAAAAATTGTATCAAAAAATGTATGTTGGTCCAATTTTCGGCGAACTCTGTATTTTCAAAAATTGCAAAAAAGGTTACAGAGATTTTTGTCTTAAATAAAATCTTTTTTAAAAAAACAGATCTTGCAAAAATACCATGTACAATTTTTTGACAAAGCGAGTAGTTTTGCGTGATTTTTCCTTGATAATACATTTTATAAAAAAGTATTTTCTCAAAAAGTCTCTAAATTAAAAAAAAATCTTTTCCTCGGATAGAACAGGGGTGCTTAAAAGAATGGCACATGCCTCATTTTTGTTAAAATCTCTGAATTTTGGAAAAAGGCAAAATATGGAAATAATGCGAGAGAGTATGTGCTATTAAGCTCGCCTAGTTTATCGTCTGTCAGAAAAGAAAATAAATCTTATTGACCTCGAGTAAGTGAAAAACATTTGAAGTGAATCCCTAGAGGAAATTATATTTTTAATCTTGTAAAGTTTTCGATGTTAAATTTACTACAGTTGCACGCATCTTGTTGCTTTCAAAACATCTGGCGCAACAAACTTTTAACGTAAGACTAAATGCAATGTCAAGAAGAAGAGGGATAACTAATGGCACAGAGTTTCCCGAAATAGTTTTCTAATTCCTTTGGTCTCAGCTAACTATAATAACTTGTCACATACTTATGCCAGTTGCCATCTATGCCATCTATCGCCGCCTAAAGTACATTTTTCTGAAAATGACTTAATTTTTCGGTTTCCTAATAATAGAACGGTCATATTATTTCATGGATATTGAAAAACAGTAAAACCTCGTCATAAATTGCAATTTTCAGCCTTTTAAAGAAAATGGCGCTTAAGCGCTACTTTAAAATCGAAATTTGAATATCTTTTTTATAGAAATTTTTTTGAGTTTTCAAAACACTTCATTAGAAGTCATTTGAAGCACCTTAACCCACAAATACAATAGTGTTTGCAAATTGCTGGAAATGTGCATATTAACGGCGTGAGAGATTTCTAAAAAATACATTTGTGTAATTTTTGAAAACAAAAAAATACCCCGAAATGAACTTTACGTCAAATTAAAGAGTGCAATTAGCACTGTCTGTTCGAAAAGAACGAAGAAAACATTTGGAGCTGTGTTTGAATAAATGGTGTTAGAGCGTTTCTTAAAATGCAGAATTTTGGACTAGTTTTCACACAGAACGGTTAAGTTTTCTAGAAATTGTATGACATTATTTAAAAAGAACATGTACTCATAAATGCAATAATGAGAACAAATTCCCGCTAATGTAAATATTAAAGGCTCGAGAGACAATTGAAAAAATAAAAGAATAGATCGATATTGCGTTCATGTCATCATACATTTAGCACTATCTCTACGAAACGTTTAAAGACGTTTGGAGCTGTTTCTGAGAAAATTTTGTTTTTGTAATTTTTTAAAATTGCACATATTGCTTGCTGTATTGCACGAAAACTACTAACATTTTCAAACAAATGTGCATGACCTTAATGAAATAACTCACTATGGAGAACAAATTTTATTTGAAGGAAGAATCTCGGTCTTCAATTTTTTAATTGTAGGAAGACGCCCGAAAATTTTAAAAAATTCAGAGTTAACTCTGGAAATTGAACCTACGCCACCTTTATAAATGTACTTTACTCTATTCTTACAAGAAATTTAAAGAACAAATTTGGAGCCGCTTTTGAGCAAATTTTGAAAATGTCCGGGATCTTCATATAAAGTACGCCTAATTTTAAAGAATTTCTTTAAAATCTCAAAGCTTCGACTCGAGCAAGATGGACAGGGGTCACTTCAATTTAGAAAAATCGTATGTATGACACACGATTTTGACAGACAGACGGACATTTTAAAAAACAAATAAACAAACACTGTTTTGGTATCAGGAGACCCGTATTTCCGTGCACTCTTCACTTTGTAATACGCACCTTAAAAAAGAGAACGGCAAACGCAAAGGAAATTCTTTATTTATCCCTTGTTCGTCCGATAATAGAATATAGAACAATTTTTTGGGATCCGCACAAAATTATTCAGTGTAAAAATGTGGAAAGGATTCAGCGTATGGTAGCTAAATTTACTTTAAGGGAGAAGAAAATGGCAGGTTGGGTTTCACTCGAAAGCAAGACTGCGCTTTGTATAAAGCTCATAGCAGTCATCCAGCTTGGAAAGAAATTAATCAGCAGCTAAGTATTCCTACATACATTAGTAGGAGGATCACAGGCACTAAATAAATTTAAGACCGCAGAGAATGGGTCGGGAAATTTTCGTTCACAAATCAAACGATAACGGCCTGAAAAACCTTTGAACCCTTTCCTCGAAGTGTTCAACAGTTTAGGAAATTAATTTAGGGTATTGAGTAAGTAAATGAGGGACTTAATTAAGAATAGTAGGTTATAGAGCGGCGCATAAGTGATATATTGTGAAGTGAAGAGTCGAGCAGACAAAAAATGAAGGAAGTGATTTAAGGGTCATAGTGAAGTGCAGTAGTAGTGTCAGTGCAGTGTGGTATTAATTGAACATTCAGTGCTGAGTTAGATTATAGAAGTTTCTTTTTCTTAAGATAATTTAATGTTTTATGAATCAGTCAGTTTTTATATTATTATTATTATTATTATTATTATTATTATTATTATTATTATTATTATTATTATTATTATTTATATGCTAGAATATAAAAGAAGTTGCTGTTCGTAATTTACTAGTATAACACAAAGAAATATAATGCAAGAACACATTTAGAAGAAAACATTATAGCACTTGGGTAGTTTTTCCCCATTATTTTTGGAGTACATTAAGCAAATTGAATGTATAGAATATAATTAAATAAGAAAAAAATTATGTTTTCTTGAAATATTAGAAATACAGGATTATGTTTTCACAGAGTGCCTTATGTTAATGTTAAATCTCGAAATAGATTTTCCGCAGCATTGCATAACTTTTCCTATACTATGTACAATAAATACTATATATAATACTCTGTATATACGCACGTATACGGTAAAGTAAGAATTAGTTGAATATATTTAAACGATTGCCAAAATGAATTATGTTCTATTCGAAAACCAGGGTCAGTATTAGAATATATATTTTTTATGATATACAAAAATATTCCCATCCATATGGAACGAAAGAAAACTTTCAAGAGAAGAGTGGGCGACTCTAGTTTTGAATCGGCATTCCAAAGAAGGTTGCCTTGCCATCAAAATCCTGGAAAAAACTAGGTGAATTAAAAAAATAGATGCCATTCACATGCACTTTGGACCATTCTGCCTGAAAATGATTTGGAACCAAGATGAGACTGGGGTGACGACGATGCAAAGCTTTCCAATGGTTGTCGCTCTTAAAGTTCCAAAACATTGGTGACGTGACGTCAACAGGATGGGGAGCTAATTACAGAATCCGCCTGCGACAGTGATTAAGGAAAACACCTATCTCTTGTGATGGTCTACCCTATGGAGAATTATGAAAATTGCACCCTGAAAACAGCATCCTCGGGGTCAATCGGCGGAGCTACCTCAGATTGGTCAAACAAAATGAATTATATACTTATGGCACATTTTTATAAAACACTATATACCTACTTAAAATGAATGTCTGTTGCTTATAACTGATAACTATGAATTTCTTCTTCCAATGGAATTCCTTTCTTACACATAGCATCAAATATTGGGGTGGTGATTGGAACGTTTCCATCCCACACTTCTCGCCACTTACAACCCTTGATCTTTCCGCCTAATTTACGATCTGGGCATATTACAATCAAGAAGTCCAGTATTGGGCTATCAACAAACCTGAAAAGGACTTATCATTTGTATTGTTACAGAATGTGTAGGGTTGGATTATGCCATTCACAACTAACATTACTAGTTGCTTCAAGATGATTCATTTCAGGATGACACTAATATAATCTTATTTCTTTTTGTAATAAATTAAACAATAAAATGCAAATATGTATAAAAATGTTTTAATATTTACTCTTTACTTTCTACAAACAAGAAGTTAGTGATACAAGGTACACTAGAGTGTGATCAATGGATACCATTAACCCTATGTCAATGAAATTTAAATATTATTTTCCAGTGTTTAACTCAACTCTTTAACACTTAAATTCTCAAAAAGTGCATATGTAATGATAATGGCGCTATCTGGAGAGACTCATTCCAATGCTATATTTAAAAGATATAAATGTTAATTGTGATCCAAGGCAGAACAGTCTTCCCTACTAAGTGAAAAAGTTGTAATTTCGAATTCAGCATTCCAAAAAGTTGAAGGTTTCAGAATAAATCCTCTATATTTTCCTTGCAAAATTACATTTGGACTCAATTGTAACTGGGCAACTTGTATACCTTGGCTTCTCAACCCTTCAGTTACTTTCCTAGGTAAAGAACGGAAACACATGCACACAACAAAATTAAAATACACACAAAGAAACTAATTAAAATGTTAAGAAAATCCATACAGCCGAAAGAATTGAAACCAAAATGTATACATTCGCGTGAAGTTGAAACGTATTTTCATTTTAATAAAATTGAGAAGCGATAGCAATATTTAATTATTTTATTAGCGATATTTTTTCCTTAAATTAGCGATATATACGTTTATTATGAGGCATTCGATTATTATTTTTGAAAACACGTAAGAGAGTAAATACAACTTACAATATGATTGACGATGTAAGTGGATTTTGATGTCAATATGTAAACATATATCAAATAATGTTCACGAATATGAATTATTGACATATTATAACACCATTTTATATAGCCTATGAATATGAAAATTCTTAGAGGTGCGCTATTATCGAAGATAAGTAAAGAAAATAAAGGCATAACTTTAGCAGTTTCCATTTTAAATCAATTGTTTTCCAGTGTTCTCGACAGGTTGCAGCACAGATGACTTAGTTTACGGCAGAGACGTGAAGAATTCATAGTTGGAATAGTGGCGGAGGATTGAAGGGAGTGGTGTTGCTGCCGAGCTATGGCGAACTCCCTTGTAGAAATATCACCAATATCTGTAAGTGAAAATATTTTTTTAAATGTTTATTGTAGAGATGTTTAGTATAGGCATGGAATCATTTTTGCATTAGTTATGTGAGATCCTAATATTTCGGAGAAATGTAAGCCTAGATGAGAGAGGCGTTGCATGAAATTCGTGAGACGTGTGCACTGAAGTTCTAGAATTCTTGGAAGACTCTTCAGCTTCTAATGTTTTCGTAACCGAGAAAGACTGGTCAATGTGTAACCGTGGATTTCAGTTATCAGTGGCGCAACAAAGATTTTTCCATGGGAGAGATCATCGAACTTCCAGGTTTTATTATGAAGAATATTTCGTAATTGCTGGATAGGAAAACTTCAATTGAGTAGTGTCTCGAGATTGAACATGTAGAATGAAATAATTTTCCGGTTGTTTGGCGACCACGGAAGCAAAAATTAGAAATTACCCCAAAAATTAGTGCTCAAAAGGGCATTTAGAAGATTTTTAGTAAACTGTAAAACAAAGTTTTTATCCAGATTTAGTGGTTGCCAAAGATCTTCTGAAATGTTAAGATCGCGTGGAAAGCCATCTTTTCTGGAATCTGTTACACATTTCATTCGTAGTCACGCGTTGTCCTTGGCCTTGCTACCGGGAAAGTGGACGTAAGGCCACAATTCTTGACACTGCGTCACCCAAAAGCCCCGAAACAAGAGAAAGTGTATACCCTTCGCATTGATTTGAGCAGGATACTCTACAGGTTATATCTAAATGATAAATTACTGAACGTAAATAAATTGAGAAAATCTATTAAAGTTGATAATCAGCGCTATGTAATTACTATTGCTGTAATCTAGACAGGAACACGCGAGTCAAACTGCGCCCGCACGGGCTCCTTGCCCGCCTTGCCCACGCTCCTACGAGCACAGACAACTTCCCCTGACTCCGCTCTCATTCCCAATCCAAATCCAGAAAGATGTACAGGCGGGAGCTGGGCAGAGGATGTTAACCCGGAAGCGTGCTCAACATAGCACGACGAATGGTTGCTTTATACGAAAACATGTTTGCCGGATTTTTTGATGCAGACTGAAGATTTGAATTATGTTCATTGTATACTCGTTAATTGTATTTCACGTTTTTCTATTTTTAAAATCTGCCTTTTATGAACCTTTTTGCCAAGGGCCAGAAATAGCGAGTTCTTTAGTTTTAGTTTAGTACTAAATATTTTTCTTGTATGACATTATCATGAAATGAGTCTCTAAATAGCTCTTTTAACAGGGAAGATTGTTAAACCCCTAAACTGAACGTAGCAAGTTATTGCAATGTTGCACTTGAGTAAATGCTATTACTAAATAAAGAATTTTTAAATTCAAAATGATAAATTTTTCTCTTTTGAAAAGTTAAGATTTGATGTATTTTGTTTTAATGAATAAATTCAATTTTTTGTAGGAGATCATGAGAATTAATATTGCAAAATTAGGGGCAATAAGTGACAAGACTTCTTAAAGAGACTGTCATGAGGCAGGTATCTAGAGAACTACCATCTCCCTACAGGGGCGGATCCAGCCGGTCATTTTGGAGGGGCCATCACAGATTTTTAACTAATAAATGTGTATTATACTGTATATTTTTGTAGTGTACCTATACTATAAAATATATTTTAAATAATTACATAATTCCATTATCAATAAATATTTGAATAAATTTTGCCAAATAAAAGATAACAAACGAAAACTCTAGGCCTTTTGGGGGAGGGGGGCCATGCCCCCTGGATCCGTCACTGCCTCTCTGTGGTATTGTACAACCCTAACGTTTAAATTTCGTTTCTCTAGAAGTCCCCGCAAACTATCGTAAACAGTCCCTTTGCGACCTTGAAGCGCCTGGCCCAGAAGTTTGAATCTCTTCCGACAAATTCGTCAAGTCACAAGATAATGGTTTAGGCCTTTTTTGCTCTATTAAATGCACGTGAGCGTAAAGATTTTTCTGGTAATTAGTCTGAATCTTTTGGAATAGTATTTCCTCCAGAACCAAAATATTCACATTGATTAGTTTGAGAAGTTATTGCACGAGCAATTTCCACATTTCTGGGGCACCGATTATCGTAGAGCAGAAGGAATATCTGGATACTGGTGTGGTTAACATTTGTTGACATTCCAGATGTTTGTGTAGAAATAGCAGTCATAAAAAGGAGTTGTGAAATTGAGATCATTCGTAGAGCAAAAACAATAGTTTCCTTGAATACACAATCTCGTATGTTGGTCTCGCAAAACACTGAGCCTATGGTTTGCCCTGATCACCAACAAAAATGCAAAGATATAAGCTGTTTTATAATCTTATTTTGTTTGAGATTTGATTTTCTTCCAGAAATGTAACGTAAATTATCGAGATTTCCTAGATTTCGGTATGAACTAAACTTTGCATTTCCTCCAGCTGATTTGATTTAACAGATCGGAAATTTTACGAACTGGCAACTTCCCGAAATTGACTGAGTGTTTGAGTGTGAGTAAATAACCTTACTATCACTAAAGGAAAATACAAGTTGAAATTCCTAATTGGAAACTATTTTTGACAAGGTTTGCGCCATTTTGAAAAAACTATGCAAGGTTTGCTGAGCCCCATCCATTATCTTCAAAAGTGATATTAATTCAGACTTGTGCATAGACATTATTTCTTTCAAAAAATACTTTTTATTGATTGAAAAGTTACACTTCGCGGTACGCGTGCAACAAACTAACTTTCCGCCTTGCCGAATTTCAGACAGTGAATGATCTCAGGAGTATTTACTTGTGCAAGTTGGAACTTTGTATTAAAAATTTGTACGCAAAATAAATACACGGATGAATGTCTTCGGAATAGAAACTTAAATTTCCGGACACAGTTTCTGTAATTACCTCGTAAGAGAAAAAAGAATTGTTGGTCGAAAATTAATTTTATCTACTGGTTATGTAAATATCTATCGTATTTGACGGTAGTTTATCGTACAAAGCAGTAAAGATTAAAATGAACTTTCACGAAATTCATTGATTTCTGGTTGTAGCAATGATTGACCGGCGGACGAGTAAAGAAAACCCATTAAAAAACGTAATTTTGGAGGAGGTAGGTTGTATCCTCAGCGGAGCACATTTTTCGCAACTAAGTGTTTTACTAGGTTTATCAGCATTTTATGAACCATATTCTGAAATTTCTACCAGCAAAAATCTTTGTCTAAAAACATTTGTTCACTTAACTAAAGAAAGAGATATTTGAATAAGTTATTTCAGTGCATCGACAATATATCCGCTAAAACTGTGCATCTTGAGATCTCCCCCTTCTCAAAATGGGTAATCTCTGAATAAAAGAAATATCCTACACATTTTCAAAAATATTTTACTTTCTGGTATAATCCATATAGTGAAACCTACGTTGTGCTGCTAAAATATGTCAATAATTTGATAGATAAATTGGGGTGGTCTCTGATAGCGAAAACTAATTTACTTTCTTATATACGTAGTAATTACTTTCTCGTGTAATTATTTTCTCGAAGCAAAGTAAATAAGTTTTGGGATTCTTGATGCCGATTTTTTTCCCACGAAACTTCTTTGTCTGTCCGCCGATCTGTCTGTAATAACATATCCTAAACCGTAATAGGATTATCACGAAAATAGATATATTCTCCGATCTCGCTCATGTCACAGTCACTCTTAATTTCAAAGGTATTTAAATATTGGATGTCCACAGGACATTTTGTAAATTTCCTCAACTTTAATTAAAAATTTTTACTCAAATAAAGAAAAATTAATTTGTAAAAGATGGCGTTGGTCGGAGTGTCAGTAAAACTTCTGAAACGTTAAAAATTGCAAATGTTTCAAAATTTCCGACGCTCTCCTGCAATTAAGCTGCCGAAGACACTTTTTTGAAAAATAGTAATTTTCGCGTAAGAGTGAAATTGTGTATATTAAAGTAAATACATAAACAAGTTTCTCATGACGCTTTCAATTTTTCTTTAAATGTTTTACTATAATACTGAAAAGTGTGATCAATAATATGGAACAGGTCCGATTTAATTTTAAATTTTCATTCGCTTAAATCTCGGCAAATTCGAAATTGTCAAAAGTTCATTTTTATAACCTGTCCTAAAATATTGGAGCTGCTCATGCTAAATATTAGATATTTCAATTATTTAAAATACCATTGATTAAGAATAGGTCGTTTTACGATATTTTGAGTTTCATGATGTATCAAGGTGTGAAAGTGTTGAAGACTTCGCTTTATATAGCGTTGGAAATGCATCCTGGGTAGTGCAAGGACCTGTTGCGTAGAACGACGGTGCAACTAAGCGATAGTGTTAAAATCCCAGCCTTGGTAAATATTTTTTTAAAACTTTTTATAACAATAGATCACAATACACTGAATTAAATGGAAGAAAACAATTTTCATGTCAACTTTCGAATTTTCTAAAAATTCTGAAGATAAGCATTTGTTTTCCTAACCTCTCACAATTCGTTTGTTCAGGTGATCAAGGTTGCATAAATCTATAAAAAGGAAAGTCCAACATTTTAACAAAGCGGTGTACAAAACCTAGTGAGGAGAACTTGAACGTTCTCTTCGAAAATGTGTGAATTTTTTAGATTTAAGTTTTTTATTTAACAACGCATATTAAAATAATTTAAAAGTAGAAAAGTACACAATACAAAATCTGTGCTCACCTGTTATTGAGAGAAAAAAAACTGTTGTCAAATACTGTATCGGTGTGATTTATCTCTTATCAGATATGGACATTGTTTGAACAAACGGAATGAACCGGACCCGCATTGTGATGAGCAAGAACTGAACAGGGTTGGGAATCAAAGTGACGGTTGTGCCAGGGCTAAATTAATTTAATTCCGTTGGAGTAGGGAGGGGAGACTGGAAATGGAAAATAATAAAATCATAATTGTAAATAAATTTCATTCAAATTTTCTTTCTTTTCGTAAAAATCTTTCATTCAAAGACTATAAAGTATGAAGTTATGACGTTTCCGTGGTCATGGTCATAAAAAATATTTCTGAACAGAGTATTTTAGGATTGTTGAAGTCTGAGTATGTTTGTGTTTTATTATTGAATTGGAAGTTCTGCGCCTCTGGCTTAAACGGGAGAAAAACCTCTTGATATTATCTTGCGGTGGCGTTTTAACTTCTCATCACGTTCGAAAACATCTTTTGTGAATATATTAATTGCATTGTTGAATGATGAATAAAATGTATTACAGATTGTGAGCTGAAATGGTGAAGTTTATCCTAAGGTAGTTATATAATGTAATGGACAAATATATCATTTGTAATGCAGCACTTGTGATGAGTAATTATATCACATAAATTTTAGATCTGGATCGAAAATCACCTTAGTTGTGATACAAAATGTGGCTGGGGCTTTCAATGAAAAGTCTTTTTATATGGATTATTTTACTTCGTATTTATCGAATTCATCAAACCAATCGTACAACAATGAAACATTCTGAACTGTACAGTTCATTTATCAATTTTCCCACCCCCGACATAAACTGTTTTTTTTTATTTAGCGCCTTAAATCTTTTAGAGTACCTTTAGTTTGTCTGGAAATACGAAAACGGCCTCAGAAATATTAATCCTTTCATTCCCGACTAAATGGATATAGAATCGAATTACGACGGAGATTTTTTTGGAGGAAGTAGTTTTGCCTGGTATATTTAGCCTAGTTTGTTTTACATGATGCAAGTATGACATGACCACAATGGATTTTTCAATCCTTCATATATTCACGTTCCTCAGCCGGAGACGAACCCGCGCTCTGGTGGTTAAGGGGTCGATAAGGTAACTACCCACCCTCTGAGAGCAAGGAAACATTGCGACGCTATTTAATTGTATTTTTATAACTTTCATTGCCAATAAAAATTTATATTGAACTTTTTTACTTCGCCAATCTAGTTTTATGAAGCTCGAGGTTATTTCTGAGTAAGAGAATAAACTTCAACATTTCAACTCGTGAAATGCGTAATGTTTTTTATGAAACCCAATTAATTGAGCAAAAGATTTGAATACCCCATGATTGATGGGTTTTGGGTTGTTACTTGGAGATATACTTGCAAACAGGTTTATGTATTTAATGAAGGAATAAGAAATATATTTTATTTTGGTTCACTTACATAGTGTAATACTATGCAAGTTATAGTTTTCCAAAATATGCTTGGGGAACTGCTTACCACGCGCAAACAACTGTAACTGTAATAATTTGTTTGATTGTTATGACATGCTGACGCTCGAGAACTCTTCACTCTTACTACACAAGGAGTCAGTGGTAATGAAAATGGTTTCGCGGATTTCGGTGGTCGTCAACAATTTTGTTAGAATTATACCTATCGTTGACAAGGCATTGATAAACGAAGCCGAAGTTCGCATGGACTATAAAATTTGATAACAAACGCTTTGCTTTTAGAATTATGGTTATCATAGATGTTTTGCGTAGGAACGGGATGCATCTCCTTTCAGTAAACATAATCATCACTCGGGTCAGGAAAAGCCTTTCTACATCGTGGTGTTAAATCTTGTAAAACAGACACGTCCATATATAGCGACATACCTGAAGTGTGTACGCATTAAGACCGCTTTGTAACGTGAATATCTTAATTCCGCGACAGAGATTGACATTTATGGCAAAAATAATGGCAAATCATTCTATCGAAAAATATTATATATTGGTGATGGTGTGCAATGTCAGCCGAATTTTTACTGCATATTATATAGTGAACCATTTTTATCCTAGTTTACGTAACGAAACGTTTATTAACTTCTTAGATTTTATATTTTTGTTTCTTAGCAAACATTTTCACTCTTTGCTAAGCTACTTTTACATTATAAGTTAATACGAATTGGCAGAATGTATGCTTGGTATAAATAATATAAGAACATGTTATACACACTGAACGTATTGTCTTTTCTCTTGTCATATTCTGCTAATCTAAAGATGAAACACAAATACCACGAGTGAGTTAGATCGTTCCTACTGGATTTGCGATTGGTGAAGTATTTATTTAACAATGACAATAATTACTATAGTAATTATAAAGATTGATGTAGTGACACTACAGCGTTGCCGCGAGATAGGTCGCGAGAGGGCTATTCAAGTTTAGTCATAGGTCCAAAAAGTCAGTTTTTCAGCGCGCTCTAGCGCCTGAACCGTTCATAAAAAAACGCAAGCTAATTTATAAATATTGCAGGAAATTTTTTCTTAAACTTAAGTGTCTTTCGAGAGAACAAAATATTGAATAAAAGTGCGAAATGTACTTTTTTGTAATTTTATCGATGAAGCCGACATTTCTCGAGGTGGTAAACTAGAAGTTTGAATTCGGCATCCCAAAAACCTTATAAAACAGGTGAGAGAAAACTTTCTGCTTTTCCCCCCCGGTCGATCCCTTTTGAGCAGCAGTTGTCTGGATTATGAAAGTGATATCGGAAACGAGTACGATAGAAGCTGCAATATTTTAATTATATATCATACTAAGATTTAGTGGCACTTGAAGGTCACGAGCTGAATGGGGGAGAGATGGATATATTGTCATCCAATCGGAAGTTCCAAAACTGAAAAGTAAATGTAAAGAAGCTCCCAATGGGATGAGTGTTAGTCTCCATCCAGATCGTGACCTTGAAGTGCCACTCTTAGAATTCAGAGTACACTCGTACCAATGATTCGAGAAAGGTTGTGCCATGACCGCCGCCTCAAATTTCGTGTTGTGCGCGCAGCTGTTGGCGCAGATGTTGGAGCGCGCGGAGCGGCGCGTGGGGCGAGCGGCGTGGGAGGCGGCGGAGGACGTGGCGGCGCGGCCGCGCGGCCAGCAGCTCTTCCGCCAGGCGGACCGGCTCATGGAGCTGATGGAGCGGCTGGCGCGCGCGCTCGTGCGTGCCCTGAACCGCCCCTGGCGCCGCTCTAATCCTCACGGCGGCGCCGACGGTGGGTACTAACCCCTCTGGGAAGGGAATAGTTTACTCTTTCCGCGTTTCGGACCCTCTAAACTGAAAAAAAAAAAAACTGGCGACGTAGCAGAATTGCTATACGACGCTCCGTGAAATCGAGGCAATGAAGAGATACCAGACACCACGGATTCCTGGACGCGTTCTGGGAACCCCGGTTACAAACGGCGCCGAGCTCCTGGCCGAAGGAGTAAAAGGCGTTGATTGATTGCGACGTAACGAGACCGGACAGAAACTTAACGTAGGATTACTCCAAATGTTTAATGCTAAAGGCTTGTTGAGAAAAAAGACGCGACAAAATAAAAAAAAATATTAAATTTAACTGTAGGGTGCTGAACGTACTCGTAACTCTTTGAACTGTGGAGAAGTATTAAAGAACAGTGCCCGACTGGTGAGACTTTTTTTCGGATTTCGTTAACGGAGCAATTCGTGAATTTCTGAGTTTTGATCACGATAAGATTGTTTGACATTCTCGAATTATTGTAAAAGTCGAGGTCAAATACGTAGCTTATAGATTAAATGGCAAATTAATTTATAAGGTAATATTGCTCTGTTTACTTGAATTTTCTAATTATTTATGGTTTTCTTTCCATACTAATATTTTAGAGAATGGTTTAGTTCAAGCGTCAGCGTGAACAGCAGAAAACAAAAGGGGGGGGGGAAATTCTGGTAAATAAATAAAACATACTGCAGAGAGAATGAAATAATAATTTTCAATGATACAATTAATTGATAAAATTTATTTTATGCTAAACCATGTACCAGGCTGTCAGATGGCTTGCTGTCTCTTCCTCCAAATGCTGTGTAACAATTTCCTAAATTGTCAGGTAAAAGAGGATAACCAGTCTTGGTCGTATTTAGGAAGTAATTTATTACGCGAGACTACGGTACCCCTGAAACAAATTCAGGGGTTTACCCTCCCTCCCCATGCCGTCCTCCTGTGCGCACAACAGTGGTATAAGTATTCGTAAATTCTTTTGTAATAATTTACTGATGCTCAACGCATCAGAGATTTGTTGAAACGAGTAACTAGATTTTCGATGTTATTTCAAAATTATACATTTTTTTGCAGGAGATGGAAGAGATAAGTGGGGTCAAGCACCCATGCCTTTAAGCACTGCAATTCCTCTTGTAATCATTGTTTTGCCTTCATACATGGCAGCAACGCTTCTTATGATGGTGCCATACTTTCCAATTTTAATAATGAGGGTTCTATTCGGACCTTCTCCCGTTCTCGAAGAATGTTGGCCTACGCCCACTAATGCTGTAAGTTAATGATAAATGGTGGTCGGAAACACATTCTTTAAATGACATGTGTATCATACCGATAAATTATGCGTGAAGTATTGTACGGGAGTATGGGAAACCTCAACATTTTGTGACGCTCTCGTGGGCTGTCGGAAATCTACCATACTGAAAATTTCTTCTCTATTTTGGGCAAGGTATTTTTTTACAGATCATAAAAAATTATCTTCATTATGCTATGACGAATTACGTAGAATATAGTGAAAATAACTTAATAATAGTGCCGTATTAATTATGTCCAGACTATCCAGACCAGAAGAGTCCCATGTGCACCTTGCAACATTTCGGGAAAAGTCAATGTGAGACAATGTCAATGTGGAATTTGGAGTATTTTTGAGACACAAAATAAAAAAGAAATGTGCATCGTGGTGGTAATGAAAATATTTTTTAATAATCTAAATTTTTCATTGAGATATTATTCCGTTCCCATGTTTTCGGAGAGAAAAGATTGCAACCTAATCGAAAACACACTTGTAAGAATAAAGCGTTACAAATGCGTGAATGAAAATATTCATGTTATTTTGGTCCTTTTGCCGTATAAAGCCTCCGAAGCTCACGAGACGTTAATAGTACCGTAAATAACGATTAAGATGAGATGTAGTTTTGTGAAACCAACGCTTGTTTTGCAGGAGAAGTGCTTGAGGCGGTGGAGGCGGAGGCTGCGGGGAATTCGATTCTCCGGACTGCGTAAAATGAGGATCCTGAGCATCATAGCCTTTGACAGGCTAGAACAGACGTTGCAGAAGAAAGAGAAAAAAGAAATGATAGGTAGCGAGAAGGTGGAGGAAGAGGAGGAGAAAGTAGAAATAGAAGAGGAGGAAGAGGACCAGGGCGAGGAAGAGGAGGAAGATGATTTGGTAAAGATAGTGAAATAATACTCCGGGTGGAATGATGAGAAAAGGATATTAGAGATGGGAGAGTAATTGGTGTATTATGACAAAGGAAATAAATTGAACTGGGGAATGAAAGTTCGAAAACATTTGTAGAATGATGGCAGGTTATAAGAGTACTTCTCCAATATTTTAGTTTGTAGCCAAAACAAAGAAAAATCCAATGAAAGGCTTTTAAAAACTGGTCTGTATTCAGTTTTAAATTACGATAACACTTTCACCCTAATCCCAAGTTTCGCAAGCTTAATGGTACGCTGCAACAAATTCATTAAGAAATCTAGAATTGGGGTAAGAGTGATAACGACGTGTAACTACTAAGTAATTATCGGTGAAATGAAGGTAACTCAAAGCTTAATATACAAAAGGTGTAAACGATAGTCGATAATTTTATTTTAAACTAGTGGTCCTAAAACAGCTCATGCTGTTTCTCGCTTTACTTCGAAAATTTTTCGAGTTCAACGAAAATGGACTAGCACTAACGTTTTTACCGTTCTTTGGTACACACGAAGGGAAAGTAAAATAGAAAAACTTAATGTTTGGAGAAATCGAGAAATTAATTGTTTCAAATTGTCCAAATTTCACCCAAAATTCCGCGGATACTAGAGAGTTTCGAAAAATTGTATGTGACGTTCTTTAAAGACCTGTCATTGAAAAACAGATTTCATTAAAGAAGAAAATCCAAATTTTTAATTTTGTAAATGTAGGAAAATGTCGCAAAATCAGGAATTTAACGAGAACCGCAGATCTGCCATTTGAAGTTTGGTTTAACTTTTTTACGGTTTAGTTTTATTGAATCCATTTATGAAATGTGTACAAATGTTATGACATGAAAGGTAGAAAATATGTTCTGAAATATGTTCCTCTTTCAACTGTTTTTTTAAAATTGGTTAAAACCACTTTTATTATATATAAAATACTTTTACTAATTATATTTATTTATATTTGGTTATATTTGGTTAAAATGTTTATTTAGGTTAATAGCTATATTACATTAGCTTAGAACGAATTTACAAACAAAACTGTGGTAGCTTATACAAAGAAAAGTTTACTAGCACAATATTGGCATCTTCTGGGTTTTGTAGTAGTCAGGTTTCTTGCTTTGGGTGTTTATTGCCCGTAAAAACCAATGTTAACCGTTTCTCTTTGTAGAGCCCTGATTTTTATTTTGTAAAGCTTTGGAATATAAATGCGGGAATAATTTTTCCCTTGAACCTAAAGTTGGCATCAAATATTGGTGGTTGTTTCATATTTTTGAATAGATTTTGAGATCGATTTCCTAGGTTGGCGCTGCTGGCTTTAGTCTAAAGCTAGCACCGCCCACAATTTTGGGAAATCCCAAAAGAGCCAAAAAATCGAGAATAGAGCATTGAATTAGACTAAAATTTTGTATATTGTTTGGTTGCGATTGGTTTTGGGGTATTGCTAGCTTTAGATGGTTTTGTTTCTTCCTACTGGCTGACTGTTTCTTGAAGATGATCCCTAATTTTCACCTCAGTGGTATACGTTTACAGGTGGTAACGTGTAAGTAACAGATTGGTTACCTCAGCTCAGTTTACCTTTTTTGTGGAACGTTTGGACATTGTTTATCTTGCCTATTAAGAAATTAAAAATGGAAGTAGTATAATTTCAATTGCACTTTGCTGTCCTTCTGGCCATTCCACAGTCGTCTCACTACTTGCCTACTAAAGGCTTACAAATTCAGACCGTAGATCGTCCAAGAACGTTTCAACCCTGAAGAAAGCTACGACGTGGTCTTAAAATCGGCAAAACAACTTAAGATGTAGTTACGTGGGCAGCCGGAGACTTTTCAAATGTTTAAGGACGCAGAATATTAGATTTCACTTCATTGATATTTTGCTATTTCATTGGCTTAATGTCCCTTTATTTTAAATCTCCGGGAATGTACCTCATCTGCCTCTATTAGATGTAAAATAAGAGGATGCTTATATTCAATAATTTATACTTCCATTCAATGATAGTATTTTTTCACAGGAGGATAATTCGCTGCTATCTACGGTGCTACTATGGTGGCCTATAACACTGTTGACATTGATTGGACAAATACTTGGGCTGGGCGATCCATGGATTCCAGCTTTTAACTCTCCAGTACGTAACAAGTTGGTAAGATAAATTTGTTTTGGGGGTGTTTTTTTTTCAAAACTACTAATTTTCCTTTTTCTGAAAATGGGATTCTATCACTTTTGTGCGTGAATCCATCTGGCCTTCAATGATGTATGCCAAACAAAGGGAAAATACCACTTCGAAGAAGTAACGTTTCCCCGATCCATGAGCATATGCGGCGAAGGCCGCGTATTTTGCTTCCGAACATAAATCATATATACTTATATATCATACTTCACTATCTGTGCAAATTTTCGGTAGTTATGTTGGGAATATTGTTCGATATATAATCGTTCTTGATATTCACTTGTAGGTCATTCTTGAGGTCTTAAAAAAATTCCATCACAAAGGGCACGGTGAGGGATAATGGACAAAATATGTAGAAAAGTTGGCTTTGTTTTCGTTACATGGGAGTTAATTTTTTCTGATAAATTCTTGCCAAAAACGCTGGTTTACACCTTATAATTAAACTTGTATATGGGTTAGGATAGGGATTCCAGAATTATAGGAATGTGTACAGAATACACTGTTCCACATAGTGTGTTAGTTTTAACCGTTTTGACGGTACAAATTAAGTAATTAACATTCATCTCTAAAGAGAAAATAATTCGAATCGATATAAGATTCATTAAATTTGCAGTATCCACTGCTATTTAGGAATAAGGAGATGTAAAAATAACAAGATTTATAAGATGTTTGGATATTATTGGATAAATAATGGAAGAACTTATCGGGTATAAGAAGATACGACAAAATGTAAATTGTCGTCAAAATGCAGGGAGTGAGTTTTGGACGTATCTGATAAGAATTTAAGAGATAATTGAGTGTTCAGAAGAAACTACTCTTGTGCACATTTGTTTCAATTTGAAGAAATGTTTTTGCAGTTGAATAGGTGAATGCATATTTTTACCTATTAAAATATTTATCTTAAACTTGTAAGATATTTGAATGTATGAATATTTTATAAGAATGAAATGATTAAGTTTGAAAGAATGTGTGTGTGTGTGTGTGTGTGTGTGTGTGTGTGTGTGTGTGTGTATGTGTGTTGGGCGCCATGTCAAGATTTTTTTCTTACTTTTTTTTGCATAAAGTTGGTTGTGTAGTGTGTTATTTTCTAGAAATCTACCACCGGGTGTTAAACGTAAATAGATAAGTCCATTAATCTAATATTTCCATATTCCCTATAAAAATACTTATTCCGGTATTGGGAACGAAACCTTACCGCTCGTGATCGAGCAAATAAATTATTCCCTGCATCTAAATTTTATAACTTAAATATCAAAATTAAGTAATCGTCATGAACATTTCTTGGTAAAGCATTCCAGAATATATTGAAATATTTAAAAACATAACTATTTTTTCTTGCTACTAGTTTGTTTGCAGTTTCCAAAAAAAAAGTGGAGAGAGACTGGTTTAAGCCACACTCGTTAGTGCAGAGTTCTCAAAAATTTCAAATGCCCGAGAGCATGCTACTAAAAATATTATGGTACAAAAAGCACAAAATCTGAGAATGTCAGGGGCAGGGACAAAACTGTATCAAAAAACGGGCAGTATATATTCAAATGCCAGGGATACTGCATATGTTTGAAATTTTTTTGCTACGTCTAATTTCATAAACTGAGATATTGTGTAACAAGTTATAAAATATTGATTATATTAAAAATCGCTCTGCATGAAAGTCTAAATAAGATAAAATCATAATGGTGTCCAGTTATAGCTAAAACGAAATCTATAGCTGGACAACACATTTCAACCTAATTTTCGAATTCAATGCGCATTGGTGAAAATTAGCTATACTCATTCTCATAATATTTTGTTTGACAGTGTATGACAAGGTTGACAATTGGGAAATGCTTGATAAATACACAAATGTACTATTATTCTTTAAACCTTCACATAGAACACTCGTCAGTTTCCTTTGTACTGTTCTATGTAAAAAAAGGAATAACTTTGGTACACCTGTATTTTTAAAGCTTGGCTCAATATAGGAATTGGCTTATAGAGGATAAAGGAATTGCCAATTCTATTATGATTAATGCTTCCCGACATAATAACCAATTCTATATATAGTTCAGCTTTATTCCAATACGTGTTGTACGCACAGTTTTTGGTGTTACTCGTTTTTAGCTCGTCTCCTTTTGTGCAGGCTCTGGAGAGTTCAGCAGTATCCTCCGCGGAGGAAAACGTCCCGAAGAATGACGCAGAGAATGTATCGCCTCGGAAGCGCAAGTTCCTGGATTTTCAAGCGGAGAACCTTCCTACCAATCAGGAGATTGCGTTCGGTCTCGGCGACATTTCGCATCCAACCTTAAAAGGTCATGCACTTGAGCCGGACGAAATTCTAACAGATTCCTACACTGACTCTTCCTGGGAGTACGATTCTGATTCTGATTCTGACTCTGACTCTGGAACGCTCGCAGAATCCGTGGACTTCAGCAAATCAGAGATACAACCTAGAAGATTGTCTCCCCTTGCGAAGCTTTTGACGGACTCGCCGCTTTCGTCAGACGGTGAAGAGGACGATCCGAATTACGTGGTAAGATCTGAGAACTCAGCAGTGTTTCATAGGGGTATCCAAAACGACCATAAGGCACTGAAACAAAATTGATGCTTGCGTAAATAAAATGCCCTCGGCAGTATTAGTTTAACCCTTCTAGGGATACGGAAAACGAGTTTGCTTTCTCCACAATAGTTATTCATCCTATGTTGTAGTTTTTTTCAAAGCAAATATCAGCAATTACTTTGTACAACAAAATTATTAGTGCAGATGATATTGAACTTGCTATTAACATCATGTTAAATCTATTTAATTACGAATTCCATTAGTGTTCCAACTTAAAGCAAATTACAAAATTTCTTAACTATTTTCAGACGGTGAAATGTCGATAGGACGCAAACAAATGCTTTTACAAATTACATACTAGTTATTTTCTTTCTTAGCTGTTAGATGCTGTGTACTTGCTATAATGAATGTTATATTTCCACAAGTCTAACATAGACACTTGAAATTGCGGGCCGCAGGATGATGAGTATAGGTGGCTTAATATTTCTTTGAAATAAAATGTCGATTGTTATAAGAGGTCGAAAATAAATCCAAATGCCGCGAATGGATCGAACAAATCTAACAACCTGACACAGGCTCTCCAAAACTGATATTTTATCCTTCAAATGAACTGCAGAGGGGCACACGGGTCGACCTTGAATTGTAGCAAGACCAATAAACTAACTTAAATGCTAATAGATTCACTATTGAATATCACCTTGCTCTTAACTATTCTCTCTTGTCATTTTCAAAAGTGTTACTTTCGGAACTCGTGTATTAATTGTAATTAAGATGTTCGAGATTACTCTGATTTTAATGTTGGAATACATGCTTTTGAGGAGCGAGCTAGAAGTGACTGGAAATCATTTATCGTAGAACATTCGTTAAGGGTCTGTAAACATTTTTATACTTGCCAACAATTACAGAATTGTCATTAAAAAAAGTTGCTTCTCCGATCGTAAATTGGAAAAGAATAGCTATTAATTGTTGAACGCTAATAATAAAAATAAAGGAATGTGGTGTTTTGTAAAAAAAATGTGTACTGTTTAGATACTGTTTCATAGAATAATGACAGATGAATGTTAAGACTATAGTCGCCAATCTCAAGACAGTTAAAAGAACTCTTACGAGGAGTTTAAAAACCACCAAATTCATCAATCGTTTCCAAAACATTAGAGAAGTTTCCCCAACCGCTTCTAATGCAATCCCCTGAATGGTCGGTATATTAAATTAAATATTCCGTTAGTTTAGATAAATTTCCGGATTGTTTATAAAGACTTGCCTCCCTCCCGTCTACTCGCATGCTCGCTGCTTCTTCGTGCACGAACATTTTCAGATAGTTTAGAATGACAAAAGGTATCTTAAAAAATACCGTATTCAAGTAAAATCAAAATAGCGGGGACTCGATTGAAACTCCAAAAGAAAAACCCATGTTGAAGAACTTAATACAAAAAGTTAATTATGAATACACTTACTTTAGTTTGTCTGGATTAGAAATAATTCTGAATGTTCCTACAACTCGTTACGTCTATTTTGCGAATGTGTATTCTAGAGCGCTGCATTTTGCGAAAAAAAAACCCAATCGGGGTCCACCCTGGTGAGCGCTGGGAGAAAAATCGGATAGACCCCTGCCCCCTGCCTCGCGCGCCACTTTTGTTCATCTCGCCATTATTAATAAAGCCATCAGGCGAGCGGAAATCAGATTTGTTGCCGTCGGTCGTCACTCTGGTCGCTGCGCAAAACGCTCGCTGGAGCGCTTCCAATAGATTCTGAAAATTCAGAATTCTTTCGAACTCACTGATCGTTTTTTCAATCGCGTACGCTGTTCTTGTGAATCAAGTAACCACGTGAGTGGGCAAATAGCGATAAGGCAAATAGCGTCGAAACCATGGAGCACCAAAAGAAGTGAGGAAAATGCAATGGAGAAGAGAATCTGTAAAGAACGCACTACTTAGTACGCCTAAATGAATAAAATCAAAACAAAACACACAAATAAACAAAAATGCTATTGTAACACACTACCCCCTTTTTGTTTTCTGTTTTTTCAATGTTAACTTTAACCTGACCGCTACTGACACTTCGCCAATTCTCCGAAGAGGGTAGGTGGGGTGAATCCAAGGGTGACCCGACTCGCCTGTTCTGATTTGTCTGCATCGTTTCCCCGGTTGCCCAGTTCTGAAATTGAGACGCATGCGTGCCCGGCTTCTCCATGCACCAATGCATTGAAACTCGTGATTTGGTTTAAAAAATGAATTTTAATTCTAGTTTTATGTGAGGTGAGGCCCCCAATTACAGTAGTCATTTTGACCTAGTGTAATCTAGTTGTCGTACTCTCTCGGGTCATTGTCCGGGCGTTCGGAACCTCACGGCGGCGGCGGCGGCGGCGGCGGCGGCGGCAGCGGCAGCAACAGCGGCAGCAACAGCCTCCCTCCCTCCCCTCCCCAAAACGTGTGAGGGCGGGAAGCAGCTAGGTGAGTTCTGGCGTCTCGGGCCGCTAGCGGCGGCTCCCCGGCGCTTCAGCGGCGCCGGCCCAAAGACCCGCGGTGATACCTCCGCCTCGTCATAGCGTCCTTAGCCCTAGTCCAGGCGCTCTGGCAGGTATTGGCCGCAGATTTCTCCCGAATGTCCGGCGAGCCCTGGCCCTGGCGGCGCCTGAGCGATCGGCGATGTGGCGGCGATGGCAGTCTGGCGAGTAGGCGCAGCGTCTAGCGGTGTGTGGAAATGCGCGAGTCCCGCGTTTACGTCGTGAGCCTCTATCGGAATGGTCAACATGCATTCGGTGCTCTCCTATCGGAATGGTTCAAATATGCTCGTCTCCATCGGAATGATCTAGCACAGGGCCCGCAGTGGCCTCTCTCTGGTCGCGGGATCACGGGTATCCTCCCTCGCTCGGTTTTCGGCGATTGCCCCCCCCCTCCCCCTCCTCAAATCGCTTGGTGTGCGCAGTCCAATCGCGGTCATCAGCGGCGGTTGGCGCCGCGTATTTCGCATGAAATGAGTGGCGACGATTGTAATTTCGATTATAAAGGGGTCTACGATTTCGGTAATTCTCGGAAGGCTGGGCGAGTGTGTCAGCGACGCGGCGTCCGTAATTTCCCCGCAGACATAGGTGTGCCCGGCCGCGCCTGGCACCCACACGATGGGGCCCCGCCCTTTCGGCCGCTCGGTGGCGTCCGTTCGCAAGCAGAATGCTTCTCTTCTGGCTCTCGGCGTTCGAAAGCTCCAACGTTGTATAAAATGAAGTTTAAAACATACGTCGAAACCTACGCGTGCGACTGGCCCATTACACTGTTAAAATTAGTTTAATTTTGCAAGTGAAAACTGTAATGTGTAATGTTTGGGTAAAATCTTCTATCATATACATTTATTTAAAAAAATAAATTACTGATGACCTTTTGCAAAATTATTTGGATTTAAAATACAAGAATGGAAAAAAAGCTGAAATGGGCAAGAAAAATATTTCACACGTTAATTCAATGAATACTGTGAAGAAACTAACCCGTAACATAATGAATAACAAAATTTCAAAATAAAATCCACAGACGCGTTCGTTAGATTTGGGAAAATTGACCCAGGTACGGGATTTTGGTGGTGGCAGCGCGCTGTGAAGGGAGCGAGCGCGAACGGTCGCAGCGCTCGAACGGTTCTCAGTCCTTGACAAGAGGCTCTGCTGCAGAAAGCGGACGAGCTTCCACTGCAGAAGATTCTCGGTTATTTGTCGGGAAACGGACGGTTGTTTTTCCGCAGAATGCATATCTCTAGTGCCTGTGAGTGTCAGATCTGTCGTGATATTCTGGCATAACACATTCTGTGGCTGCCTGTTTTAGATTGCCATACAAATTGTACCAATCAAAAGCGAATGCATTGCACGCGATTTTCGCACGCCTCTTTTCACAGGCTGAATTCTCATTGCCCTGTCCATTTACATGCGAATCAGTTTTGGCAAAACGTATATTTATAATTAGCATATACGTCGTAGGAATCATATTCCTGGAGTGACGGTAATCAGTTCGCTGCAACATGCTGAAAAAATATACATACTTTATAATACATTACCACTTGACATTAAACAATTAAAAATACTCAAAAACTAACATGCCAAGAAATTTTTATTAGATTGCTTAATGGTTTCTATACACTTAACTACACGGACCGTCAAAAACGAACACTGCGATTATTATTATTATTATTATTATTATTATTATTATTATTATTATTATTATTATTATTATTATTAATTTATTTATTTATTTATTTTAAATTATAAATAGATTATAAATCATATATTAATCATATTATAAAAGAATAAATATGCTTGGAACAAAAACTGCACTTCAGCTAAAAGGCCACGGACAACCATATTGTCGGGGGTTTTCGTCCAATTTTCCTAAATCCATTGAACAAATGCAGAGTTAACCCTTTGTTTCTGGATATAAATACTCGTATAATAAAATATAAATACATAAATAGCTTCTTTATGATCACTTTCTTTTTTGCTGGTTGCTGTTGGAATAGATCTGGGATGTATGGGTTGCTATTTTGTTAGCAAAACTTCAAAAATTCTATAGTTAGCGTTCAAATGATGCTAACCGCGCTTTGTTGACACATTTATTCATCCTTCAACTATATCGCAAAATGGTGGGGGTAAAAATTATTTGATTGAAGAAAACTGGCTCTGGTTGTATTATATTTCTCTTCCATATGTAATATACAGTTTATGACGTGCTTCTTGCACTACTTAGCTTTTAGGCTTTACCATAAGTTATTCAACCTCGTATCTAATTTGCAGCCAAATCCGGATGAAGAGTCAGGCGACGAAGATGACTATGACGTAACTGAAGGTAACGAAGACGATGAAAATGAGGAAACTTGCAATGAAATTGAATCGGTAGGAACGGAATCTAAAGAATTCATTGAAATGGAAACCAAAGAACTCAAAGGGATGGAATTCGAAAAAATCGGTGAAATGGAAAACAAAGAATTCAAAGGGATGGAATCCGAAAAAATTGGTGAAATGGAAACCAAAGAACGCAAAGGGATGAAATCCAATAAAATTGATGAAATGAAATCCAGAGAATCTAATGCAGTAGAATCCAAAAAAATTGATGAAATTGAAGCCAAAGAATGCGATGGAAAGGAGTCCAAAACATCCAATGAAAAGGAAACCAAAGAACCGATGGGAAAAGTATTCACGGACTACGAAAACTGCGACAAGACTCTCACTCCACGTAGCGCGCAATCAGATTTGTATAAGTTTTAATACCAACAAACAAAACATCTTGGAATGTAATAACTCCTTGTTGGGATATCGTGTTTCTATTGATCAGAACTTGCATTGTCTAGAATTTTTCTATATGTGAAGATGTCCATGAGGGTTTATCTACCAGTGTTAAATATTGAATGTTCTTATACTTTTCTTATTCATCTTTTCTTATGAATCTTTTTAATGCTCTTATACTTTCATGTTTTGGTGTAAATAAAAAGGTCAGATGAGTCGTCTGAGTTTTATTGTAAATTTTAATCCTCATTGTAATCTGAAAACCATCTAAATTCTGATTGTTACCTGCATTTTTTTAAGAAAGCCTCTGTAAATGTTTCAAATTTCCCTTAAACAGACAATAAAGAGAGAAACCAAACAGTAATACATAAAGTTGAGAAGCTGATACATTTTATTTCTAATTTTGTAGATATTAAATTCGGAAAGAATGCAATTACCAAATGTAAAGTTAACCATACTTCGTTAGTAGAGAACGGCAGCGTTTATCGCGTTATTATTAAACGGACACCCAAGATCGATACGAATAGTTGTGCTGTATTTAAACGCCTTTATAAAGCATCCTTGGTAAAAGGTGAATTTAAGACTTCTGTTTAATTTGTTGCTTAAGCTGAGTTCTCTTGCAAGACACGGTAGAAATTTAATACTCTCTCAATTCATTTCGGAGAACTGCAAAAATTTGTAGCGGCAATACCATCAACATACTTGAATGGAAAGTAGTTAAAAATGCCGATTTCTGGCAATATGCATGAACATTACAATACCTAAGTGGTTGCTTACGTCCTATAGAGACGATAATTAAGATGTTACTGCGAAGGATCGAGACTTTTTAGAAAGGCTGACTTAATCTACAAGAAAATTGATATAGCCAAGGAACGAACTTTGATCTCCATTGATGGGGGCCTAGAAAAATTACAATTTGAATGACAAGCAGCAGTCTATTATTGATTCATTGATCATCGTAAGATTATTCACCTTGCCGACTGGTGGGCGACTGGAGTTACCACTTTACCTGGTAGTGTCCAATGTAAGCAGGTTACATGGGCTAGTGGTTCCAGCAACCACGAGACATCAGTATCGATAGAGCAGAACCTAATGCTTCCTATCATCGATCGTTCTCGCTGAATTTCTATCGCATTCTCGGAGAGCGCGCACTCTCTTTCGGCCTCTATCTATACCTAGGCCAGTAGGTCCGAGAAGGATCGGAACTGTCTGTACCGCTCCTTCTCGCCTGTTCTCAGCAGTACGAGTAGTATCGCTATGATCGGCCCGAGTGTGCTCTACGTGCAGTTTGTAGGTAGTTTCAAGGTTCCGCTTGTAATATTCCGCTCTCTTGCAAAGTAGAAAATTATTAAATTGATTTTAATTAAATTTAATAAACTAGTGTACTAACAAACTCTCACATTTGTTATGGTCACTCAACACTTGGGGAAAATCGTCACATTCTCAAAACACTATCCAAAGGTTAAATTTTGAACAGATTTCATTAAGAAAAAAATGGTCTTCAATTTCAAAATTTAGAAAAACAAATAATTTTAAACTTTCGCAAGTTTCGAAAATACATAGAGCTCTAAGAAGAGATCCTAAGATCTTTCATCAATATTGAAGTGAAAGACGTCAACCAAATTTTTAACTTTCCCAAATTTCGAAAAAAGTTAAGAGATAGTGACAAGTCATTTGTAAAAGGGATTTTGCTCTGTTCAATAAGAGGAAAAATGTCATTTTTGAGAAAAGTTTGAAAATGATGGGTTCATGAAAAGTATCCCCCAAAATCAAATCAATTCCTAAGAATTTGTAGGCCGTTGAGTTCGACCAGATCGATCGCGCAAGGTGAATTTTTGGGAGTTTTGTCTTCAACCAATTTTTCGTTATCAATGATCCACGACAGTAAATAGACGGGCGGAGTTAAGGTCTTTTATCACAAACCAAATGTTTGGTATGGAAGTTCCACAAAACCTGGATTCTGACTGAACGTATTAGAGGAAATAATTGACTATATTAATTAGAACCCCGGTATTACCAACTAATTGGAGTGTGGTCTATTCGGATTCTGAAATGGTTGGATTATTAAAAAAAACGTACATACATACCGTTCATATGCAAGTACATCTTTACAATATATTGTATCTGGTAATGATATATTTGGTGTGTGCGGTGTGAGAAACGTGTGTGGCGTCTTTGCCGGGGCAATAAATCACAGACGTGAACGGTTTGTAAATTCAGTATTTATTTGAAAAAATGCTCCGACACCTGAATACTATGTAAAATATTGACAATTAACAATATTTACACGTTACTAGAAGGAATTTTCCCTCGTTACCACCACCGCTGGCCTGATAATTAGATATCACATTCGGTGTGATGCACCAGTAGCCTACAAGCGAATATGCCGCACCTCCCGTCTCGACGTAGCACGCCGGCTTCAGATCCCTGCCTCAGTAGCCTATGCATTAAAATGCAGCGCCGCGCACAACCCACACGTCTTCCTACCGACGCGCCCAAGAATCAGAAGGAATAGTTTAGGTCCGAGGTCCGTTTATATTACCTTCTGGGCCGGCTGATGGAACTGCGTCATCTCGCTGTTTCCGCCGCCGGCCTGCCTACGGAGTTCCCAAGTTTGCCACCCACGACACGGCACACCTTCCCTTCCGCTCCCTAGGTTTGCCTTTATTCAGCCCAACGTCTCTTCCGCCAGCGCTGTCCATGAGCATGAAATGCACGTGGCTGATGTTGGTACGTTTGTACAAGGCGACTGATATTTGGTACGTTTGTACAAGGCGACTGATATTTGGTACGTTTGTACAAGGCGACTGATATGACGCCACACTAGTATCGTATTCGTAGCATAGCAACAGGAGGAAGTGGCAATGTTGCGAACAAGGGAGTACAGCACGTATATAACCGATCGCCTGCGGTACTAGTTGTTGCATTGTTTAGAAGATTTGGAGCACGATTTTGTCGCTTCTATTGACGGGTACAAAATTCGGTACGAAATTCTACGTGCGTTACTGCGGGCGGGATTCTGCGTACAGAATTCAGAATTGGGTTGACTTAGTGTTCATGCTTTTTCGTTTATAAATTAGATCAATACAAATCAGATGTGTGTTTATTTTTTCCTCCATCCCGAATTTCGTTCCGATTATCCGACATTTCGGATTTCTTAAAAAAAATAGGACGAGAAATCACTGGCGATGACAAGGATTTAACACACAGCAAAAATGAAATAACATGCAATAAAAATGCAAACTATGAGAATGAAGAAAAAACGCCTTGCTCAAACATGAAAACTCAAAAATAATGCTAAATATAATAAAAAACATTAATTTATATCTATTTTTATTTATTAATAATTATGAAAAATAGGTTTGAATGAAGTGTGCTCTCAATCTGAGATCTTAAACCTGCTTCATCCAGCACAGCTTTTTCGTCCATTTCATCATTAAATGTCTTTTCTATCAATTGCAATGTTGAATTGCAACTGCTGTAGGTACTATTATTTTCAAAGCTATAGCAAACATAATCTATAGAGAGTGAAGTGAAAGCATGAAAACGTCTTTATAACAACCAAATAATCTTTCTACGACATTCCTAGCTATTTTGTGTGCTGCGTTGTAGCATTTATCAATTTGTTACTTGTCTCAAGGAGCCTAATAATAAACAGATACCGTGCACATGGGTATCCGCTATCTCCCATTAGGCCTGTGTCCCACGAGTTTTGTTGTCTCGCGTCAATGCGCTGATGACGTCAGCTGTGTCGACGTGCGTCGATGCCTGCGCACACGAGCGTTGCTTACTACCCGTCTCGGGCACTACTAGCGACTAATCATGGACGCCGTCGAAACTGCTACTATGGGTTACGTGGCGCTCAAAATGTTACCGTAAGGAAAAGGAAAATGTTCAGGAGATTTTGGGTTCAACCAATTATTGTAGGCCCTTGCAGGATGATAATATTTTCAATAATCTGCGAGAGGTAAGAGAAGTATATTTATTTTCGAATATCAAAAGAATCATTCTATGAGTTGCTCTTCAAACAAAATTGAATTATAATTTCAGCATGTATGTCTATTTCTAAGAAAAAGGTAAAATAAATCGTAGAAGAATTCGGAAGAAATATATTACGTACCTTTCCCTGAAGTACGGCGTTCAAGGATCCAATAATTTATTTCTAATACGCATATGTTAATGAGAACGAATACACTTCACTAAATATAACACACAATGAAAATTAGAAATGTAATAGGCAATTTTGAACTTTATAAACTTTATTTAAATTATGGTTACACATTTTAAAGTTAGAACATCAAAAGTTGAATTATTGCGGGTACACCTAATTCTCTTTCGTCCATGAGATTGGGGTTGGTTGGCAATATTTCGGCCAAATGAATTACTGTTTTTTCGATAAGCAAAATGATTTTAGGTAATATCACGAGTGCTTTGGAAATTGTCGATAAATTCCCTACTTGCGAGGAATCTGAGAATTTCCAAAGCACGAGTGGTATTTAATAGAACTATTCCACGAGTGAAATTATGTCCATCAGAGTTCCAAAATGCACCAAACATTGAAAATAACTGAAAGTGTATGTTGAAAGCAGAGGTTATCTTATAGTACATACGCTGTTTATTGGACAACGACATAGCGATCGATGTAAACCTCTCCCAAGATAAATAATAAAATAACTATGCAAAACAATATTCCTCTTTTTATTAAGACTTTTAGCGATTAACTAGATTGTGTTTCCATAGCCCAAGCAAATTAGACTAGTCGAGTGAAAAAAAAAAAAATCCCGGAGTTTTGAAACTTGGCATGATTGTTTTCTGGTACTCACTGCATGACGTAATAAAAATCCCGAAGAGTGGGAGTGCGCCGCGGTGTGGCCGTTTGAAGGTTCTTATTCGACGTTTTTTGCATATATTTCCTTAATTATCAGTCCCACAGAAAATTATGTTCTATACAACATTAAAGTAAATAAAACGTCGCACAAAAAAGTTTGTATACAATTTTGTTTTAAAATTAACCCTTTTAGTATTATAGGCTTGAAAATTTCTTATTTTTGTTTACGAAAAGGTTTTATGTATCTCCCTGGTAAAAAATGAAGTTTTGATAAATTCAGTGCACTGAAGTAATTTTATTTTATGTTCAGCATTTACCAACAATATGTATTTGTATATTTTGCACAAAATCAGGAACATTTCACCCTTTTACAAATTTTATGTTGTATACCGACTTGCGAGTATCTGTGGTCATTTGGGCCCCAGATTACCTCGGGTTCGAAAACTAATAATCCATAGTTTATTTGATAAGGAGTACAAATATTCGATAAAGAATTGTATACACTGTCAAATTACAAATTACACGAAACAATACAAA